TCTAAAATCCAAAACCCATAAAGTTAAAATCTTGTCTCCTCCTCAAACTGTTATAGAAAATTATTGATTTAATTGACCCAACTAGTTCGAGGTGAGGCATGCTAATGATGAATTATTTTTTAGATTTCTTACTTCACTTGAATGCTTATAGTCTTATGCAAGAATTCTCAAATGTTCCCTTTCTTTTCAAGATGTCAAAGTTACTGATCAGATGGGCATGAATTTGTCAGCCCAACTCAACCAAGTCATTCCTACGGTCGTAAACAACGACAACAACAACATCCACAATGTAGCCACAGAAGACTCCGAATGCACTATTCGCGAGCAAGACCGTTTCATGCCAATAGCAAACGTGATCCGAATCATGCGCAAAATCCTCCCTCCACACGCCAAGATCTCAGACGATGCGAAAGAAACCATCCAAGAATGCGTGTCCGAGTTCATCAGCTTCATCACTGGCGAAGCCAACGACCGTTGCCAGCGCGAGCAGCGCAAGACTATCACGGCCGAGGATGTCCTCTGGGCCATGAGCAAACTCGGGTTCGATGGCTACATCGAACCCCTGACTATGTACTTGCATCGTTATCGTGAGTATGATGGTGGTGAGCGCGGTTTCCTTAGAGGGGAACCTTTGCTGATGAAGCCACAGGCCAGGGTTGATCCCGCGGCTTCAACTAGCATTGTTATGGCACCGTATCCGGTGCCACATAATTTCGCAATGGCTCATCATCATCACCATGGATATTTTGCTTTTGCACCCATGAGTAATGGGTACATGCAAAATCATGATAATAATGGGAGCACTTCTCAGGCTGCAGCAGTTAATGGTGAGGTAAATGTTGAATCTTATGATGAGCATATGGAGTAAGTTTTAAGAGGAAATGAATAAAAATAGACTGTACTATTTCTTGGTTTCTATTTAGATTTTCTTCTTGTATGAACTAACTATTGTACTATTCCAAATTGCTCCTTTTTCGGTTTTAAGTTCTAAGGTGGTCTGTCTCCAATATAATTTGGTGTTTCTTTCTTGTTTTTTTTTCTTCTTCGAAATAGTTGCGACATTTTTTAGTTAGAACTTAGAAGTAGGGGTGTATATGGACCGGGTTGATTCGGATTTTATCAAAACCAAAATAAACTGCAACTATATCGGTTTGGATTGGTTCGGTTTTGTCGGATTTTTTTGAGTTTTTCGTTAGTTAAATATTATTTTAATCTTACTTTGTTAAATTTTTGATAAGTAAATATATGTTTAGTAAAAATATAAAAAAAATGACAAATATATTATCTATTAAAATATTCTTATGAGAGAATTTTCTTAGTAGCACATAATAGTTATTTTTTAAGTCGTCTGACAATAATGTTTCGTTGATGCACATTTTCAAGGTTAACCGAATTTAGTAATTAAACATAAAAATCAATATGATACCTAAATAATAATGATCACTTCACATCCGAAAAGATATAACATTTTAATAGATCTTAGCATATGATATGAATATGGAAGAACAAAGAGATTGACGTATTTCAGTAATACTTGATGAGAAAGCGATCATACAACCCATTATTTAAGGTTAATAAATATGGAGCACTGCATATACTATTAAATATTATATCCCGCAAGAGAATCTCAAATATTTCTAGACATTTTTTAAAGAAAATTCTATATAAAATCTTAAAAGTATATATAAAAATTATATATTTATATGTCGGTTTGGTTCGGATTTTTTTTTACTTAATACCAAACCATATCAAACCAAATCTAATCGGGTTTTTTAATCGATTTGGTTTGACTTTTCGGTTTGGTGCGATTTTCCGGTTCGATTTGTACACCCCTACTTAGAAGTATAGTTAGGGTCTGTTCCATAGAACAGGATCGGAGAATATTTTTCAGAAAATGAGTCATTTTGTTGGTGTTTGATTTGATGAAATTATTTTCCATGAGGAAAAATATTATTTTCACCGAAAAGGGAAAATAACATCCCTCACTTTTAAGCGGAAGGTATTTTCCTTCATAATTATCTCAACTTCAATTTCATATTATTATATTGCTTTAACTAAGACTTAGCAATATTATCAATCTTTAATAGGAGTACTTAAAATCTTGATCAAAACACTATCCAGTTGGCTAATATTATTATAAGTCTTTAATAAATATTTTTACTTCCCGACCAAAAGAAAATATTCTTTTGGAAAATAATTCTTTATCTGGAAAACATGTCCCGGAAAATGACTTAACATCGTAGCAAACTATTTGTCTTTTTTCGAAATTACCCCATTTTCTGTTTTTTTTTTTTCTTCTTAAAAAGGTGCTACCTTTTGTAGTCGATGCGAATCCGGAATTTAAATATTTTGGGTTCAACTTTCAAAATTTTTAACATTGAACCAATTATAGTTTTAAAGTTATGAGTTCATATATATTATTTTTGCTATTTTAATAAATTTTTATATATAAATTTTTACTCCGCGTCGAAAGTTATAAGTTCAATTGAACCCGCTTGAACACTACTAGGTTTGTAGTATGGGTCATAGGTGGATTAAATGGGACATGTCGAAATTGTTAGCAGAGATAGAACAAATATCACTATTTCACGTGCTTGAAGATATTTTTTTGCAAAGCTTTTTAAATTTATATTTTATACATAATATAAAGGTGCTAAACGAATATTTGGATGTGAAAATCAATCTAGCTAGGATGCTACAAAAAGTTGGAAAATGAAATAAGTGCGATTTGGTCAAAGCAAATACTTAGAAAAGGACAGTGGAAAAATGTTATGAATTGTAATGACTAACGTCTAATGTGGAAAATGTGATAGTATATTGTAGCGTTTAATAGCCTGGATTTTTATATTTAATTACATTTTCAAACTAAACGGCTAACACGATTTAAATTAATTAAGAGTATGAAAGAGAAAAAGAATGAGGGAAAATGAACCACGCCGAACTGCCTCCACTGATACAATTTTTAACTCTTAGAGCATGTTTGAACTTAGTAATTTGATTTGGGTGTAATCGGGTATAATTATATAGTTTGACATGTTTGTTTGGTCAAGTAATTACGTGGTCAACATGAAATTGAGTGTAATTGGAAAGGTGTAATTACATGTAATTGCTCGTATATTTTATTTCTTATTTATTTTATTTTCTTCATCTTGCGTAACTACGTTATTATTCTAGTTTTTGAGACTACACCTCCTAGTATTAGAAATAATGAGTCATTAACAAATATGGCATATAACTAGTGATATCATTAAAGTAGAATTTCGTTGTTGAATGAGGTTATAAACTTATTATGTTTCTTAATCTTAAGTTGTATTGGAACTTATTTTTATTGTGTTGGAATTTGACATATGTTAAAGTGTTTTTTGTGGGATTTTAAAATTGTGTTATATTTATGGTTCCAATTTACTTGTTTTAGTAGTATTAGCTTGTTATTTCACACATTGCGTGTTGTTCATTTTTTAGTTAGAATTGATAGATAAACATTTTCATAATGTTATATTTATAAGTATTAATTTATTTTATTAAACATGCATTACATGATGTTCTTACAAAACATATATTTTTAATTTTCATAATTAATTAAACTAAATATTAGTAATTTGAAAAAAATATATCAATTATTTTTACAATATTAGTTATAAAATATATGATTACTAATGAGTGTATATCCAAGAAAAAGTATGCATTTTAAATACCAAATGTAATAGTATCATTTATACTTATAAAAAATTATTTATAGGCATATATTTATTATATTAACTTTTAAGTTTTGATAATCACTCCAATTAAAATTTGATCTAACTGTGTAATTACATTTGTACAACCAAACAACACGCTTGTAATTGCACTGTAATTACGCTATGACAAACAAACATGTCGTCATAATTGCCAGACTGTGTAATTACTACCCTAGTAATTACTACCCTAATAATTACACCAATTCTAGTTACGTGACTTTCCAAACAAATCCTTGTTAAATGCTTATGTGTAGACTTTTCGAGGCAGATTCAACTTCAAGAAAATAAAAATTATGGTAATTAACTTAAAGGGCAAGAAACAAATATGGAGTATTCATATTGCTATATAAGCTATTTAACTTAATTTGGAATTTAAGCATGGCAGATTTATACAATATGGCAATGGCTGGTCTATTGGCAGCCTAATTAAACTTCATGTTGTTTGCTTAACATACTAGTTATGTGAAAATTATAATGTAGGAATTATATGCGATGATTAAAATGAAGTAATTGCTATGAGGTAATTAATTGTAAAGAAATTATTATACAACGAGTTATTTATTCTTTAAATATTTTAATCTCTGTATCATTACTATATATTATATTCTTATTCTATATTGTACCTCGTATAAAACAATAGTACTGATTATATAAGTTACTGCAAAACTTAATGTTGGTATGATTAGAAGAATTAACTTAATAGCCGCTTATTCAACCGTTTAAAAAAAATTTAAAAATAACAGTTAGATGTATAATATATGCATAAGAGTATATAATATGTGTATAATTATGTATAATCAGTGTATAATTTACGTTTATCGATTAAGAAAAGTAAAAAGTGAATCTGGCCTATTATTTGTTTAAAGATTAATACTACTAACGCTACTAAGTTATTGAGTTTTTTGTGTTATCTTATGTGAGATTTTATCCTACTAATGCTATATTTAATTTTTTTTATAAGACCGATTAAATATTGTGTTATCGTATGCCAAATATTATGTTAGGATTAATCATTCCACTATCATTAATCAAATATAATCAAACTTTTCTATAACAAAATATCTATTATAATAATAATATTTTACAATAACGGTTAAGTATTTTTTGAAATTAATTTTTATATTATGTTATAATATATATTTACATTTTGTTAAATCAATCGAATTTTATATTCGATTGTTATATCAATCAAATTTTATATTCGAAACAAATGAGACGAAACAAATATATCTTTTGAAGGTACTATTATATCTTTATGCGGTATCTTAGACAGTTCTCATTCGGTCATTCCATAATCCACCCATTCTTAAGCTCCATTTTGCGCTGCCCCTTTCTTGAGTCTTGGCTTCTTCACTATTCAAAAGCAAATTGAAAGCTGAATCTTTTGAACAAACCGAAGAAGCAGCGATCATAACAAGAATATCTTCTTCTGCTTCATGTGAGTTAAACAGTGTTCCTTTTTTTCTTCCTGTTGTTTTAAAGTTTTCTTGAAATATCTGGTTCTGTTTCATGTAACTTAAAATTTGCTCCTTTTTTTTTTCTTTTCTGATTTTTTTTAAAGTTTTGTGGAAATTTTCGACATATGGGTCTGCTTCATCTGCATTAAAGATCTTTTTTTTTTGTCTGTCTGCTGTTTTTAAGGTTTCAGCTGCTTATTATCTAGTTGGACACTGTTAATGAAGTTCCCTTTCTCAAGCTCAATTCCAGGGTTTTATGTAATTTGTTGCTGTTGTGTGTGATTTTTGCAAGAAATTATCTCCCACTCTTGACATTTTCCTCTTCTTTTGGATTGGAGCTGAATTTTTCTGCTAATTATCTGTCTTTTCTGATCTATGTATCATAAAGTTCCACCTTTAAAATATAGTATAACAGAATGCAACCCAGATCAAGTGCTTGTTTCTTTCCCACAGAGTCACGCAGAGCCAGGATTTGAAGTTGATTGGTTCTGAATTTTCCATAGAACCCATAGTTCATCTTTGTTATTGGGTAATTAAATATTTATACATATTTAATGACCTAATACAAATACAGTGTTTAAGCAAAAGTAATGAGGTTCGGCCGAACACACACCTAATAGACTCGCTCCACTCCTGCTTTCCCATATCATCTAATATTTCTCTCCCACTCTTGACATTTTCCTCTTCTTTTTGATTAGAGCTGATTTTTTCTGCTAATTATCTGTCTTTTCTGATCTATGTATCATAAAGTTCCACCTTTAATTTATAGTATAACAGAATGCAACCTCCCAGAGTCAAGTGTTTGTTTCTTTCCCACAGAGCCAGAGCCAGGATTTGAAGTTGATGAGTTCTGAATTTGCCATAGAACCCATAGTTCTATCTTTGTTACTGGGTTCGCAATTAAATATTTATATATATTTAATGACCTAATACAAATACAGTGTTTAAGCAAAAGTAATGAGGTTCGGCCGAACACACACCTAATAGACTCGCTCCACTCCTGCTTTCCCATATCCTCTAATATGTTCTGGATTCTATTTTAATATAAGGTTAAGTTGCCTTGTAAAATGCAGCTCTGAGTTTATGACATTGCAGTAGTGGATTATGGGAGACAAATTAGGACAGATAAAAGTGACTGTTGTACAAGGGAAACGTTTGGTGATTCGGGACTTCAGGACCAGCGATCCTTATGTCATTCTCAAGCTCGGCAATCAGGTCGTTCTATGTTTTCCCCCTCTGCTTCTTCCTTATGATATTATCTGTCTTATGTTACTCAGATGTTATTTATTCTTGGACATTCAGAGATTTTACTAGTTTTATTTCAATTGCATACTCTGAATCCTAGTTAGCGAGTAGCGATAATGACTTGTGATTGTTAGACCAAGTTTAATATTTTATGATGTGATGAAGTCGCAGATAAATTAATTTCTTATTTGCCTCTCTCACAAATAGAGCTGGAAATAGGGCATCTCTCTTTAATTTATGGAATTGTTGTTGTCACTTCCTCAACCCGCAAGACAATAATTTTCTTGTACTTATAGAGTTCTCTTCATTTACAAAATAGTATTTCAAATTAATCGTACAATTGCTTCGGAAAGATTAAAAATAAAATCTTTTATGTTGTAGGTCACGTCAGATACTTGTTACGATGTATGATGTTACCCTTTCACTTTACATGAGAGTTTTGTAATTGCTATGTTGAGCTGACATCTGATAGTGCATTTTATTGTTTTACCAGACTGCCAAAACCAAAGTCATAAATTGCTGCCTTAATCCTGTTTGGAATGAAGAATTTTGTTTCTCTATCTTCGAACCAGCTGAGGTTCTCGAATTGGTATATGCTTCTACCTAGACTTTTATATTGTTAGCAGTTGTATTGTCATCTCTCGTAGTCCACCTCTAATCCCATTTTATAGACTTGGATTCAGGCAGACGACGTGCTTGCCTCTGACAAAAGTTTTGCATATTTCCATTACTTTATTTTGCACTATTATTGGTGTAGGTCTCGGGGCTGCCCTTTAGGAAGGGGAGCCTTGGCGTAACCGGTAAAGTTGCTTCCATGTGACCAGGAAGTCATTAGTTCGAGCCGTGGAAATAGCCTTTTGCATAAATGCAGGGTAAGGTTATGTACAATAGACCCTTATGGTTCGGCCCTTTCCCGGACCCCGCGTATAGTGGGAGCTTAGTACACCGGGCTGCCTTTTGTTGGTGTAGATCTGTTTAATAGTTAGTCTGCATGTTCTGAAATGTTTGAAGTTTAAGATTGAAAAGGATATTAGCAGTTATCCATAGGGCCATCCTATGAAATTTATGATGCGGCTGAACTTCAGTCATTTCACTCTACTGGTTCATTTAGTGTATATGTTCTTCAACAATTTATCGCCTAATTGGTTGAGATAAAGCAAAAGAAGTTAAGATAGATCTTTAATATGCTGGAACATATTTTCAAGGATTTCTAAGGCCTTGTTCTTCAGTGTGTATATTATTTATTACATGAAAATGAAATCATGTCGGTATCCTGAACTGCTATCTTAGAAAAATTCTATGATATTATTTCCAAGTCGTTGTAATGCAATTTGTGACAGGAAGTATTCGACAAAGACCGTTTCAAGGCAGATGACAAGATGGGAAATGCTCAACTCAGCCTTCAACCTTTGGTTGCAGCTGCTAGATTAAGAAAGATTCTCGGGGTTGCTTCCGAGGGGACAACGTTAAGGAAGGTCATCCCGGAGAGAGATAATTGTCTAGCAGTTGATAGCAGCATTAATTGGGTGAATGGTGAAGTTGTGCAACACGTTTGGTTGAGGCTTTGTGAGGTGGAGTCTGGGGAGATAGAGTTGAAGATCAAATTGATCGATTTTTCGTGTGCTTCTCCCTCCAAGTAGAATGGTTTTTAATGACATCGATGCATCTCTTGTTCGAGCTGTATACTTCTTATTGTAGGTTGAAAAAGATGTCAAGTGATCAGTGTTAGCATGTACTGTGCCATGTCAAGTAGAAGAAGGGCCTATATTTGGCGTCTTTTATTTGGAACTTGGTATGTGCATAATCTAAATCATAGTGCTTCTCCCAAGGCTTATTCTGTAACAGACAAGCTGGAGTGATTTACAATTGGAATGGAAGGGTAGAAACAGGTCCCTTTTAAGCAGCAATTAGCACTGAATTTGTTCACTTCTCATAACCAAAGAAACATGTTCTAGTACCTGTTTATGAAAAAGGCTATTCTCTTTACTAGATTTGGCTGGGAATATGTGGTGTTGTATCTTATGTTGCAAGTTAATTATGGTGATTTAGGCAACAGTATATGGTATTGGATTCAAACTACTGTCAAGTTAGACATTCTGTGTTCATCCGTTTCAATTTAGATATGTAGTTTGACTTGACACAAAGTATAAAATAAAAAAAGAATATTTTTGAAGCATGTGATCCTAAAAGTTTAAGGGGCAAAAGTTGTGGGGCCATGATATTTTTGTGGCTATAAAAGTTTCTTATCAAGAGTAAAGCGAGTCATTCTTTTTTGAACAAACTAATAATGAAAGTGTGTCATTTAGATTGAAATAGAGGGATTATTTGAGTAAAAAAAATCTTGTAAAAAGAAAAGAAAAAAGGTAAAAAAAAATCTTGTCGCTAAACAATAAGGCATACGAATCCCAAAGAATTAACCTAAATAGCAACCCACTCAATTAGTTACGCTAAAAATAAAAGTAAACAATGAAAGTGGTCGGCTATTTGTGTAAACATTAGTCACTTGGACAAGACGGGCACAAAGGCCCATTCTGCGTTGGTTGGACCGATTCCGGGTCGAATTTGCCGCCATATTCCACTGTAAAAATAGTACGGGCTAGTATGTTTTCGGACTGGTAATTGAAAAATAGTCAGCGTTTGTAAAACCATTGAAAAATAACCTTTATTTTGTTGCAACACGGAAAGTTCCAGCTCAATATATTGGAGATTGGTGCACCTGTATATGCACTTCCAACATATTATGCTGGAACTCCAGCACACGAAAAGTTACATCATAATATACTGGAGATTGGAGTATCTGTGTATGAACTTCTAACATATTATGCTGGAACTCCAGTATATTATACTGAAACTCCAGTATATTATGCTGGAACTCCACTATATTCTACTGAGACTCCAGTATATTATGCTGGAATATTTTTTGGATTTTAAATAGTATTTTTGTTCAGATTTATCTTTACATGAAAAGTGGCTAAATTTTAATTACTTTTGAAACGGTGACTATTTTTCAATTAGCACTTATAAATGGCTATTTTTGAATTTAACCCTCCTCCACTAGGCCCAAATCATTACCGTTTTCATTTCCGCTCTTTCTCCGCCAATGGCGATGGTGACGAAACTGAACCCGAAGGCCGAGACCGTCGAGTCCGGCGACCGCCACGGCCGTAAGTCTGAGAATGAGGTGGAGCAGAATGTAGCTGTCGCAGCAACAAGCGATTCAAAAACAAAGAGAGTAGTTGTGGAATTAGGAAATGGAAGCCAAGTAATCTACATGCCTAAGTTTTTAGCATACGACCAATCATGGGATTATTTAGAATATTTAAACAAAAATATACCCTGGAAACGTCCCACTATTCGCGTCTTCGGTCGATCCTGTGTTCAGGTTCTCCATTTCTGCAATCTCTCTTTCAATTTATCTAGCTCCATCAGTACTAAAAACTTTTTTTTTAAAATTATTTCAAGGGGATCTAAAAGTTTATATATATACTAAAAAAGTTTGTTTTTTACCCTATTGTACGGTTTAATTTTTGAATTGATAGCAGTACAAACTAATTTGAAATGCACGAATTACCATTACCAACATGATCTCAAATGGGTATTTAACTTTTCAAGAATTTTATTGTTTCTGGTTCAGTTTTTGTCTCGTCGTTTTAGGATGGTGGTAGTAGCAAAACCTCAGTGAGTTATGTCCATCAGGATAGAATGATGCTTTTTCCTGTTACAATCTTAGAATGGCTGCAACTGGGCAACAAGAAACATACAATTTTAAACTTTTAATGCTAAAGCTGGATGCTTCTTCTTTTCTGTTGTACTGAATCAGTTCAGTTCTGACTTGTATTTGAAAAAGAGCAACAGAGATGTTCAAATTTTGCGAATAGATCCGTAGGACTTTAAGGATCATGGCCAAATGTTTTGTCCTTGTTTGCACGATATGCTTGAACAATAACGTCGCATGACTCATAATTTCATTTGTTGGTGCCCATGACTGACCATTCAAATTGAAAATAATTGTTGCTTTACGCTCTTTTAGTGTGCGATTTCATAGTTTAGTTTGCCTGACCATTCAAATTGTAAATTTTCTGCTGCTTTCGCTCTTTCAGTGTGTTATTTCTTGGTTTAGTTTGTCCGTGTACTGATCAAAAGGGAAGCTCGGTGCACAAAGTATCTCGCGTTCACACAGGGTCCAGGAAAGGGCCGCATCCTAAGGGGTGTGATGTAGAAATAAAAAAAATGTTTAAATGTCCGTGTACCAATCATTCAAATAAAAAATGCTGTTACTTTACTCTCATTACCATGTGTTTTTGTGGGGGGAAATAGATTGACAGCGTTCATAATATTTCAACAGCCTAGAGACAGTTGTTATGTGGCAAGTGAAGGATTACCACAGCTAGTTTATAGTGGATACCAGCCTCATGCATATTCTTGGGATGAATTTCCTCCACTTAAGGACATTCTGGATGCTGTAAGCTTGCTCTTCTTCACCTCTCAAGTTCTAGTACCCGGTCATTGAGCTACTTTCTTTCTCATACCTTCAGTGTTGCACTTTAGGTCCATAAAGCTCTTCCAGGAAGTCATTTCAACAGCTTACTATTGAATAGGTATAAGGGAGGCGATGACTATGTGGGTTGGCATGCTGATGATGAGAAACTTTATGGACCAACTCCAGAAATTGCTTCTCTTTCTTTTGGATGTGAACGTGAATTCTTGTTGAAGAAGAGACCTGACAAAACACCCGGAGGTACGTGATTAGTGTAAAACTGTAAATATTGATTCTAAAATGTTCTTTTGTTTGTCAAATGATGTGCGAGTCTTCAGTGTAGTAGACCTTCTGTCCGGTTAACTAATTGTAAGTGACTATGTTGATTCCATGGAAATCGTGTTAATCACTTCCTCTTCTGTTTGCTATCTATTGCACCAGGTAAAATAACGAGTGGTGAACCGCCCAAAAAGCGACCGAAGAAGAATGGCTCTCCAGACCAACACTCATTTGTCCTAAAACATGGCTCGTTGCTGGTAATGAGAGACTACACTCAGCGGGATTGGCTTCATTCAGTGCCTAAGCGCGTGAAAGCAGATTCTGTACGGATTAATCTCACCTTCAGGCTTGTTCTTTGAACACTACTGTGTATCAAATGCACTTCTTAATTGTATATAACTGGGGTTTGGATATCTTATGCAGTGCACTCAGCAACAAAAGGAAGGTGGTTTTGAGTTTGTGTGATGAAATTTACTAGTACTAGATCTGTTCTTTTTTCCCCTTCCTTTTCTGCTGGTTGTAGTGGAAGAGCATCTATCTTCAGTCCGATGGCACAATGATACGTGCTCCGTGTTCTACACCTTCTGGTTGTAGAGGAAATTTTTGGGCTTATAAACAGAGTTCACCGCACAGAATCTGCAAATCATGTAGAGAAAGGTTTATCTTTTCCAGGCTTATGATTGTTATTTGTTACTATGTTTTATGTTGCAAGAATGAGATGTTCCACTTCCAGTAATGTGCGTATATTAGCTGTATTTTTCCCATTAGAAATCAAAATGAATGAGAAAAGGAAAAAGATTTGGAGGATTGGTTAAAATTACATGCTAGTCTATAAAGTTATAGCAAATGACATACACTTAAAGTGTATTGGGAAAATATTATCTATCTACAAAACAACAAAAACTCTACGTCTCACAACGGTAAAAGGTAATTTTAAAATACGTAATTAAACAATCAATAAGCTAGGTATAATCAAAGTAGGGGTGGCAAGTGGGACGGTCCGGGATCGCGGGCCAAATGGGCTAAGTGGGCCGGAACCGGTAGGACCGCTAGAGGTGGGCTTGGGTCGGTTCTTGCCTTTGAACCGTAAGGACCGAGACCGTTTGGCCCGCCAAGGGACCGGGATTGCGGGCCAAGTGGGCCGGGACCGGTAGGACCGCTAGAGGTGGGCTTGGGCCGGTCTCGTGGGGCGGTTCTTGCCTTTGAACCGTTAGGACTGGGACCGTTTGGCCCGCCAAGGGACTTTTTTTTTTTTTTTTTTTTTTTTTTTGGCTATTTCAAAAAATAGCTGTTGGGTAGCCCAAAAATAGCCGTTGGCTATTTAGAAAATAGTCGTTTAACCCCCCAACTTTGTTTTAACCCCAAATATTTTATAATTACACTTTTTTCCTATTTTCAAATATAAATACCCCCTCATTCATTCATTTTTCTTACAAAATCAATATCAATCTATCACAATCTCTCTCTAATTTTCTTCTATACTTGCTACTATTGCTTACTTTATTCCAAAAAATAATAAAAAAATATTGAGGTTGTTACAATTTGCGAAAAAATTGTGAAGTTGGTGAATTCAAGTCTTCAACGATAATCAATTTTCAACAAGTTGTTCGTCAATTCGGTAAACTCGTTCCAACTCTTAAGTCTTAATATTATAGTTTTGTTTGTTTTATTTATTTGCTATTACTTGATTAATTAAGATGGCTTCCTTAAAAAATATGTTTGGTAAAAATAAGAATAAGGAAAAATCCAAGAGTGTCGAATCTAGTGGTCATGCTGTTCCTCCTCCCCTGCCCCCGGCTCCCCGAACCAAATCCCATATCCGTCCTACACCTGCTATTCTTGATAGCGATAATAGTTTATTACAATTTACTGTGAGTCAATTTTGCCATAATATTGCAGTCGGTGAACAATTAGACCATGAATTAATGAATGCTCTTTATTCTAATAATTATAATACTATTGATGAAAATGATGATCAGGAAATTGATCTTGATGAAACTCAACCGGATGATGATACACCCACTAGTAGTAATAATTTTTCAAAACTAAATGAGCTTGAAGTTTATTTGTTGCAGCAAATTGAGGAAGTGAATCTCGTCGGCTCCTTTAATCTTTTGCAATGGTGGAAGGACAAAGAAAAACACTTTCCGATTCTTTCAAGGATGGCCCGAGACATTTTAACTATTCAAGCTTCAACAGTGGCATTAAAGAGCGCTTTCTATCAAGCAAGACTTAAAATCTGTGATTATAGAGCGACTATGAGGGAGAGCTTAGAAAAATCAGTACTTTTCAGAGATTGGATCCGTTCGGAAAGAAGAAATTTTGGACTTGCTGAATCACAACCAAAGGAAGACGAAGCAGACGAAGAAATGTTAGTTGAACTTGTGGAGGATTCTGCTTTGCCCGACAATGGAAGTGGCGATGACCAAGCTACTTTTCCGCCACCATAAACAGAAATTCCTCCGGACCTTGAAAGATTTATGAAGTTTGTAAGAGATACCATGTCACGCCCCGTTTTCTCGCGAAAAACGGTCCTCGACGTGTGACAACTCTTTTAAAGGAGGTATTAAAAGAGGAGAGTCGCCACCTAACGATTTNAATGTTGTGTCTAGATATGAATCACTAAGTGACAATGAAATCTATTGGAGGAATGCGTAGAATTATTCATGCTTTCTAACAATAGCATACGTGAAACAATGTTTGAGCGATTTAACATTAACAAATTATGGCGAGTAATTATATCCTATAGGCAGGATCTCTAACGTTCAACACTTAGAGCAGATTTTATCGTCATTTCTTAATCCTATAGGCATATTTTCTAGGTGACAGTGGCAAATAGAATAGTTAGAATACTGTAGGCATGATTTCTAGTGAATGCTGATGCGAATTGAAATCAATGACATTTATTCCTATAGGCAAGTTTTCTAGTAGCACGTAGCAGTAAGCATAATTGCAGCACTTTGAATTCATGTTTGCTAGCAGATTGTGTATGTGTGTATGTTTTCCCTAATGACATGATTTCTATAGTGAATACAGTGATGGAATAACATATATATATATATATATATATATATATATATAGAAGAACAAGTAAATCATTGAGTCCTATAGGCATATTATCTACCCATTTGGTATGCAAATATTAGAAAACTACCCATCCCCCACTTTACTAACACCCCAATCGTTTATACAAAGTTATTCCCATTAATGAGTAAGATATAAATGTTATACAAATAATGACAATAGGCCCACAACAGGACCAAATGAAATACACAACACTGTCTGGGCCTTCAGCAATTCTCATACAGCATACCCAGACTTCTAACAAGGAGGCGTATTCATCAACACAACCCCAGAATCTATAGAGGAGCCCAAAGTCAATTCATATAACCATATTGCCAAGCATTGCATCATTTAAACCAACCGACTTAGATGTACAACAAATAATAGGAAGAAAGGGGTTGAATGGGGGTAGTTTAAGTTTCAGGGAATGACGAAGGACCCAAATCCTAGTGTGTCATAGTTCACAAGGGTCTCAAATGGACCCCGACCAGTGCTCACACTAGGACGTCAGCAGTAAAGCCTAGGTAGCCTTGGCTTTCAGCCGGCTAAGAATAAGAAGTTCAGAATAGCATAAGTAGCAGATGAGGAGAATGGACAATGGCTGAGGGACAGAACTGGGGGTACACTTATAACCTAAAGTAGATATAGCCAAGTAAAGCATATAGAGCAACTCATCAAGAAGGCCAGTAGGTTCAGCAGGATTTCCATACATAGCAAAGTATCACATAAACAACCACATTTTGAAAGAGTTGGGGAAGAAACAGGTTTGCATGGATATACAGAGATTATCATGTACAAATGCATGATACTAAACCAGTTGAGACATAAAAGGTCCAAATTAAGCTAAATATGCATCCTAGTATCATAAGATAGACATAGTAACTTTTATCAGGAAACATGACTGCATTGAGACATGATATGGAGCACACACTATGACAAAACCACATGTGGGAAGGGTCAGGGGAGAAACAAGTTTGCAGTCACAAATGCACAATACAAACAAGTTAAAACCTAAGAGATTATGCTAAACATACATCCTAGTGTCATGCTAATCAGTATTTAGACATGATGGGGGATGCACATTATGACAAGCCAAATAATCACTGAAAGAACAGGATATCAAATGAACCATATACATGATGGGGAACATATTAGCACAGAAGCAAGATCATAGAGAATGGTCTTAATACAAATTGAAACACATTGTACATGCAAGACAAATATTGCAGAGATTCAGAGCAAAGTGAGATAGCAAGTTCATACCAAATAGCACATGTGGGGATTCTGGTATTGACACAATAGACTAATTAACTAAAGAAGATTTAAGTTATGCCATAAAATAAAATGGTTGAAACGGGGCAGGGAAAACAAGTTGAGGTAACTGTTAAGATCTCAGTCAATCACTAATGGGGTATGGGGATCATGCTGAGTGACACAATAGCAGGGGAATATGTCATAATTAACAAAGGAAGTTCTAGCACAAGTGTGAAGCATTCATTATAGAGATTAAGGACAAAGCAAATAAGCATGTTTTAGGGAACATTCAGGCACTGATACATTGGCTAAACGAACATAAGAGGGTCAGATTATCCAAGTTAGACTTAGGCAGTCTCAGAACTAGCAGCATTAGGATGAATTTAAATGCTAAAGAGACTTTGAACAAAGTAGAATTAACGGAATCGTGCACAAAAGTAATCCAGAAAACATATTAAGCCATGGATTTCAGAGGTGAGAATACATGTAAATCAAAGACACATAGGGATGAAATTGCAAAAGTCAAGTGTCTTATCAGTTAAACTGACAACAATAAAGAACAAAAGATCCATAAGAACCCAGAAACCTCGATGCGTCAAAGTTTCCAAGATCTTCGAAAGAACCCCGGACAATGCTCGCACCAAGAGAAAGTTAGAACAGTAAACTCTCAGTAGCCTTGGCTTTCAGCCGGCCAACAAAACACAGAACAAGATAATGAAGGAATTAACAAAGCAAAGCTTCAAATTTTAGTGAGATTATATCGATTCCCTCTTTTCAAAGGGGAATGAGGAGCGGTTTATATAGTGACAGAAATCGAACAAGTAAACAAGGAAAACTGTAAAATCAAACATAAATAAGGAAGTATTAACATGCAGAATCAATAAAAATCGGATTTGGGAAAAACATAAGTAAACCCTAGTTGACAAAAATCAAAGATTGGCCGGAAATCTTGGCTAATCGGACCCATATAGCCATGGTCTTGATGTATATAGACTAGATATTGTCCAGATTCAAATGGTTGAAGTGAATGGGCAACATCGGAGAGATATGACTTTTCATGTTTAGGAACGTACTAATTAATACCATGGAGAAACACCCAGTAGCGGAGAAACACTAGTATGGTAAGTGAATGATGAGAGAATCCCATTATCGACGGGATTAGGGAAAGATTTGGAGAAGGAGGCGATTAGGGGTTTCTGGTGGGAGGAGGAGAGTTTGATGGAGGCTGGGTAGAGACAATGGGTCTCTAGGATCAGGGGGTCGGGTTTAAGAGAAGAGGTTAGTTTATTAGGGGTCGTTGATCATTTGAGATCAACAGCCAAGATGAAAGAATTGGGTTGGGCGGGCCGTTTAAACGGGTTATCGGCCGGGTTATTTTAAAAGGGTGGTTTGGTTTTGGGCTTGGGGTAATTGGGCTAA